CTGCAGAAAAAAGGCTCAAGTTTCTTTTCTGAAAATATCTATTTTCTAATGAAAGTTTGTCATTTTAGGATAATTAGTTGATGCTCTAAAACTTTTAGACAAAGCAGCAACGGATGTAAAATTGTTTCAAATATTTGATTGTTTGAAAGTTGTTAATAACGTTTTTTTATGTTCACAGTGACCAGCATCCCGGCATGTGTTGCGATCGATGACACAATGCTCCTTGTCTCAATTCAACAATTATTTGCACACTTTTGTTTCACGCACTCAAAGCCTTACTGCGCACTTTCTCCAAGCGCACTTTGCTGAAGACCTTAGGGTGCAGTGCCAGTATTGGGATAGCACCCTCTAAGGTCCTACAACCCCCCAAGATGCTTTACAACATAACCCACATGTGCACACACATTCTCACGCTGGTGGTGATGGGGCCACAGCTGCCCTGGGGTGCACTGATGGAGGGAGGGAAAATATTTTTATTTAAATATAAACAAAGCTCAGTCTTAGAGGTCTGTAGGAACGTTTGATCGAGACAAAATTTGATGTTTTTCAAGACAAATGTAAAGACTGCAAAATGGGAATAAAAATTGAAATAATGGGATGACTGTTGTCAAGTTATCTAAATTATTACACAAGAAACAAAATTATACATAACTTCTAGTTATTTTACTCTGTCAGTTTCTTTGTGAACCAACCCTTTTTTTCTCATTTACATAAAACAAATACTTGGATGTTGAAAATATGTCAATACTGAAACAGATCTAGACTATTTAGACATAAAGGCAGCAAATAATCCTGTTACAACACCTGGACTTGTTTAATTTTCTGTTATTTTATTTTATGAATGATAAAGACTTAGTAATTAAAGGGACAATATGTGTGCCCTGTGTGTACAAAAAACTCTTAGCGCCATGGAGTTCAGATTAACTGTTGCAGCTACACACACAGCAAACAGGTAATATGTCAACAACCTCCAGCTTTCACTCCAGCAATGAGGTCCGTTCTTTATAAATAACATGAGCATGATAGTTTAATCAATTGCCAATCTCTCTAGCCTAACCCACACAAAGAAAATACTTAAAACGAGCAATTAACAAAACATTTTTAATTGTTATCTTTGGTAAGTTGTTGCATTAACTTACCAGTCCTGAAAGAATCAAGCAACTTCTACCAAATTATGCCTGCTTGAAGAGCACAGCTATCACGATTCACACATGGAGGAGGGTTGCATCAGGCAGGGAGTTCGATGTCACGTGGATGTCGGGTAACTGTCGCTTAACAACCAGCTAACGAATGAATGCTTCCATGCGTCCAGGAGACTGCCTGTTAGTCACCGGCTAGCAAAGAAAGCCAGCAGTAAGCCAGGTGCAGATGGAGCCGATAACACTGGCTGCTGCTTAGCAACCAGCTAACCAATAAACGCTCCCACGAGCCGGGGAGCCGTGGTGGAGATAGAGCCAACAACACTGCCTGTTAGTCATCGGTTAGTGGAGAAAAGCTGGATTAAGCCGGGGACAAGCGGTAGAGATGAAGTAAACCATGCTGGCTTAACCAACGGCTTTCCAGCAAGGAATGCTGGAGCGTGTTGGGAGAGACATGGCAGGCTGCGGGAGGAACTTCAGAAGGCATCTTGAAGAAGGACTTTGGAACCGCTACATTGGGACCGGATCGGGAGCTCTGGCACGAAGAAAGAGCAACTAGAGGTAAGTTGGGGGAGTCAGGGACGCTGCTTGGTGGCAACAAATAGTGGATGGGGACCTTATCAAGACACTTAACCCACGTTGCCTGCTGGTGGTGGTCGGAGGGACCGGGTGCGCCAGTGCTCGGCAGCCTCGCCTCTGTCAGTGCGCCCCAGGGCAGCTGTGGCTACATCGTAGCTCATCCCCACCAGTGTGTGAAGATGTGTGTGAATGGGTGAATGACTGATTGTGTTGTAAAGCACCTTGGGGGGTTCCAGGACTCTAGAAGGCGCTATATCAAATACAGGCCATTTATCATATGCGGCTGCCGAGAGTTGGACATGATGAGCACCTGACAAATTTGACGTGTCTTTGGATTTCAGTGTTCGTGATTCAAACTAACCGAGTACAGCAGCGGTGTAGCTATTCTTTTCTTCTTAGTTGTTGCCAATCTCTCTAGATTAGTTAGTTGTTTTGGCAGACTGCATGTTATCAGGGTGTACTGCTGCCCTCTGCAGTTTCTTTCAGCTTACATCATGTCAAAGTGAAAAAGTGTGACACAGAGTTTGTATGTCCCTAAACAGCTACCATATTCCAAGATGCCGCATAACCATTGCGCGTCGACCACAGTTTAAGCCTCTCAGGCTCAAAATAAGTTTTGATGAAAGGAAAAACAACTAAGTCCTTCAGAAGTACTTCTGAGTTAAACAATGCTCATGAAATACGTATGTGGAGCAACCAGGTAGGTTTTAACTGTTGCAAATGTGCAACGCTTGCCTCCAGAGGGTAAACTATTTAAAAATTAAAATTTTCAAGCTGAGAGGAATATTTAGAAAGGATGTGGCTGAGAAATACTAATGAACAAGGACAAGTTTGTGAATGCCATACACAGAATTTGATAGTAAACAGGTAAATATATTACATACTGTGGCTTTAAGTAACAGAAACATCAGAAACACTAACAAACTAAGCCTATGTTCTACATATTATGTGGGAATAAAAACATTCTTGTCTGAGAAACAAACTGAACTCAGTTTGACAAATTTACAATGTGTGTTTGGATACATGTCCCTCTGTTTGCAGGGGAATCACTTGTCTCTGTCAGATGAGGAGTTTATATTGCCCGATGACACTAAAAATCCAGCTAAGAGGAGAGTTGTGGACTGTCAAACACCTCAGAGTGATTCAGCGACACATCATGCCACTGTGATGGGTAAACCCCGTCCATCTGGCACCTGCAGTAAGATATGACAAACTGCTGGCTGTCAGGCGTTTCGACAAACACCTTTTGGGCGAGAGCCAGACCGAGATTTACTGTATGATGTGTCCTCAAAGCTCTCCTTAGAAACGTTTGCCGATGACGTAAAGAATCCATAATTTATCTTAATTCTGAGTCATTCTGCAGAGATCAAAAAACAAAGTTTATGAATTATCTAGAGTGGCCTCCACCAACCAGTGAGTGGGTCTTTCATCATGCATTGGGCAAAACAAACAAACTGATAATCCACTCTCAGAACAACCCAACTCTGGACAGAAGCAGCGTGTGCCTCGGTTCCTGTAGATGTTCCACTACTTTTTAATTCTGATGGACCGCTGCTGAGCTCCAGGTATTTAAGCCCTTGAGGGGTCATTATCAGTTTTCACGGCAAAAAAACACTGAAGATGTTCCTGAGGAATAAAGATGATTTGGTTTAGACATTCTGTGTTGCTGTTCA